CTTCGGCATCAACAGACCAGTGGGAATTGGGGAGGTTGGGGGAAGCAAGATGAGAAGAGATTGTGGTATTGGAGGAGAGGGAGGACAGAATGTCTCGATGGAGGGCCTCTGTGTCGATGAGTACAGCTGCCCAGATTACTGTGGCAGCTAGGAACGTGGCTTGTAAGGACGCAGTGAGCTGCTCCGAAGTGAAGACTGGTTGGAAGTTCTGTGGATTGACACGAGCATAGTCCATATCCCCTTCTTTGGGATAGATGTCCCAGCGTCTAGTCAACACATCTGGTTTTACTCCGAGTCTTCCGGGACAGAATCAGACAGTCATGTGGAACTGGGAGAGGAACTCTGACCAGCAGGCTTGCTGCCAGGTCAAGAGTTTGGTGGGAGAAAAATACTCGAGGTTCTTGTGGTTGGTGATGACATCGATTGGGGTTCCTGAACCTTCAAGGTAGTGATGCCACGATCGGAATGCATTGTGAATGGCAAGCAGTTCCTTATCATGGGTGTCGTAATTGAGCTCCGGCGCTGAAAGTGTTCTAGAGTGGAAAGCGATGGGGTGAATCTCTCCATCATTGCAATGCATGGACAGGATTCTGGAGATCACATAATCGGAGGCGTCGGTTTCTACAATGAGAGGGGCGTTGGGTACCCAATGCATCAGGATGGGAGCAGACATGAAGGCTTCTTTCAGGGTGTTGAAAGCAGAATGACAGTCGTCAGAGAATAACCAGGGGGCTCCTTTACGCATGAGGCATGTCAAGGGGACCACAATGTCGGAGTATTGGTGGATGAAATGCCAATAGAAGTTAGCGAAGCCAAGGAGGACTGGACATCCTTGACTTTACGGGGCTTGGGCCAATCTTGGACGGTTTGACCTTCTCGATGGACATGGTGAGTCCAGAGGGAGAAAGGCAGTATCCGAGATATTCCGTAGTGTCTGTATGAAATTCGCATTTCTTTGGATTGGCATATAGGCCATGTTTGCGGAGTCTCCTAAGAACTTCTCGGACATGCTCCTGGTGTGAAGCCATATCTTCCAAGTAGGTAAGGATGTCATCTAGGTAGACTACCACAGAAACATCCAAGAGGTCGGCAAAGATTGTGTTGACGAATCGCTGGAAGGCTGCAGGTGCATTTGTGAGACCAAATGGCATGATGAGCCACTCGTAGGCATAGTGCATGTGGAAGGAAGTCTTCCACTTGTCACCTGCTGCAATGTGAACCAGGTGGTAAGCATGCCGGAGGTCGAGTCTGGTGTAGACAGTGGCATGGCTAGGTGCATCAAGGAGGTCTGAAATGCAGGGAAGTGGGTAGCAATCTTTCTTGGTGATCTTGTTCAGCCCTCGGAAGTCAACACAAAGATGGAGGGATCTGTCCTTTTTGCAGACAAAGAGGACCAGCGCCACGTGAGCGGAAGTAGTGGGACAAATGAACCTGGAGGCTAGGTGTTCATTAAGAACGCCCAGAGAGCCTCGAGTTCCAAAGTAGAGAGGGAATACATAGTTCCCAAGGGTGGTGAAGTGCCTTCCTCAAGGTCAATCTTCCGGTCGTGCTTACAGTGCAGTGCTAGCGTTGAGGCTTTGCTCTTGCTGAACACATCTGCAAACTCATGGTACTCCTTCGGAATGGCCGAAAGGTCAACGGAATTGGTGTGGGAGGAGGCAGCCCTCAAGTGGCTGTCCTCGGAAGGGATGGTTAGGCTGAAGGATACCGATCCTTTGAGTTGACAAGCCTTTGCAAATGCGGAACAGCTGATGAACTCGATAGATGGTAATGGAGGAATGGGAGCCTGGGACTGAGGTGCTAGCGGAACATCAGATGGTTGGATGTTGGATGACGGCAGTGGTGCCAGAGACGATGGGGGAGAGCTCGGAGTAACTGTCTTGTTCGGAAGTTTGGAATGTAATACTGCTTGAGACCCAGTCAATCAGTGGATTGTAGCGGGTAAGCCAGTTGTGTCCTAGGACTAGAGAACAAGATCCATCCAGCAATGTGACAAAGAAAGTTGTGGGGGTGATGTTTCCGGAAGCGAAGTGGAGGGGAATATCAACAGTGCGGGTTATGATTGAGTTGGTGCTACCATCAAAAAGGTGTAGTTGTAGAGGTTTAATCTGATATGTCTTCAGGGCCAGCTTCTTCACAAATTTGTCATTGACGAAGCAGTCCAAAGACCCAGAGTCTATGAGTGCAGGAATGTTCTCATAGGTGCAGAAGAGTTTATTTTTTGTCCTTACATCGGACAGGGAAGTAGAAACAGGAGAAGAGAGAGAAGAGAAGAGAAGAGAGGTGGAACGACCTATGGAAGTAGTCGGAGGTGGAGGGGGAGGAGAAAGTGAAACATCAGTAACACTATCTACAACGGGTAGAACATCAACCGAAGGGTCAACATTAAGAGGAGAAAATAGACCATCAGAAAGAGAAAAAGAAATGGGAATGTGGAGGGAGGACAAGTCGGAAATGGAAGACGCATTTAGGCGCACTTCTTTGAGCGCACAGAGGGAAGAATCACAACCCCCGGTCTGTGTGGAGTCCACGGGAGTGCGGACTAATTTTTTGCCTCTGCGGAAGCGGATCCTTGCTCCTTGGTCTGGGCCGTGCGGGCCTTAGATGCACGAGAAGAAGACTTAGGGCAGTCCTTGACCATATGGCCAGACTGACTGCAGAACATGCAAAGTTTCTCATTGAGACGATGCTTACGCTCTTGTGGCGTGAGCTTGCCGTTGTCTCCAAGTTTTGATGAAAGATCCGGTTTAGCGGAGCTGGCCTCAGACTTCTTGTTGTCCTTCACTACTGGAAGTGGAGTTGAATGAGGAGGAGGAAGGGATGGGGTCGGAGCGAGAAGCGGTAGTGGTCTTGTCGAAGACATTGGAGGAGGAGGGTTTCGCATGACGAGTTACTTCAGATTTATGCTCCCAATAGCGTGTATCGAAAGTCTGTGATAAGGTGCGAAGTTCCGAAGTTTCCCTACCCTGGCAATGTCATCCTTGATACATTCCGGCAATCCGTTATAGAAAAACGACGGAGCATGGCTTCTCCATAACCATGAAGTTGGGAAGCATGTCAATTGAACTTGACAACGTACTTGTTGATATGGTGCCCATCCTTCATATCCAGGTTCATAAGTTGGGCTTCAGCGTTGCCCACAGGATCATGAGGACCGAAGTTGGTCTGAAGTTCGTTGACGAACTCCTGGTAGTTATTCATCCAACGAGGATGAAGTACAGAATTTTGGTTGAACAGCAGGTCCGGCTCAAACCAATCAAGGGCCATCCCTTTGAGGTAGGACTGCATGAAGATGACCTTGGCGCAGTCGCTAGTGAAAGCAAGGGGGCGGTCCTGGAAATTCAGTTTGCACTGGACCAGGAATACTCGGAGTTCACAGGGATCTTTTCTGTTGAACTGTTCAGGCTCACGGACCTTGGTCCGGAGAGCGGAAGATGGTGGAGGAGGTGGGCATCCGGTGTGATGAGCCAAACTGGCAATGGCCTGGGCTAGCTGTGTGATAGCTATGTTGGGGATGGGCTCGGCATCGTTGGTGGCTGGGACAGTGGGGATGGGAGGATCAACAGGTGGAGGGTCAATGAAGTCGGGGACCTCAGAACCGAGTCCAAAGAAGTGGACTGGATCCATGGGCTGTTCCATGGCATCTCCGAAGTCGGAATCTGCAACTGGTGATCGATTTCTATGATCAGAGTCAATGGGAGAGGGGTTTCTAAATTAGAGAAGCTGCGAAACTCAACTGGGTTTCTCACCAGACAACTAGGACCAGGCTGCGAGGGTTCAGGGGATGGTGAGGCGGAGTTAGGAACCAATGTGCATAGTTGCGAACGAGTGTGAGGGGCTTTGGGTGCCATACAAGACGTGTACTTGTTGGGGAGTGATAAAATACTGCTAGAGACTGGAAGCGAGACAAAGGAGTTGTCTCTGTGGTGGAGGGCTTCGGCCTCAGCGACTCAGACCAGGAGCGCTGTGCCTAGTTACACATCCATACCCTAATTTACTTACTGGCAGTGAGAACTAAAGGGGGATCAACTCTAGTCGATTTTATCACTAGGGTGTAACCTATCTACAAGTTAAGTATATATAGTTACAGTGAGGGTGGGCCTGTGAATGGCAGGACCAAGCAGAGCAGAGCTAACGGAGTTAAACATTAGCCAACTGAATATTACCAATGAGTTGGGTTACAGGGTTAGCAGAATGGCAGGCTATAACCCAGAAACAGAAAGGAGGGATAGGCCCGAAGGTAGACTTGCAGGGAAAGCAAGTGAATTGCCCAGTGGGGGCAGGAGTGCACTAGCGGATGTCGGAGCTGTCTGGAGGCCTTCAGGGCTCCGTACTTAGGGAGGCATAGGTAATATATTGAATTGAGGGGGTGGTGACCATCGAGGGAGTTGGAGGTGATTGCAGAATACAGGGGCTCCAAGGTTAGTGAGGAAGGAGTGGAGGTAGTCTGGAAGGATCGGAGGTAGTGGAGGATGATGGCCGTAGATGGACATGACATCAGCTGTCATTCCCCACAACCCCCTCCACTCCTTCCCCTCTTGGCCTTGCCCTTTTGGGAAGCACCATAGAGTTCCAACCCTTGACCCTTGGGGTTGTCCCCTCATCCAGTCCCCCTTTGTCCTCCTTCCAGTTCCCTTTGTTCTCTGACTCCACTCCTGTATCGTTATATATATACTCTGTACTTAGTTTCCTGTACCCCCAGTCTGAAATCGATGACAATGACGACTGGATTGTCCCCCCAAAGAGACTCCCCCTGCTAACCTGAAGTTAAGGACCACCTTAGACAACAAAGCAATGGCACAGCACTCCACTTGAGTCACTGAGGCCAAGGTCCCTCCTCTCCTGAGTCCCTTCTCCGCTTCTGGACAACTTCATGCTCCTTTAACAATGATACTCAGAGCAAATCGCAGCTTTCAAGAGAATCCTTCTGAGGATCAATTCCATTACCTCTTCAAGATCTTTGATCATCAGCATGACTTTATATGGTTTAAACAGACTTCCTAATCAACGCGGATTTGCTCAGGGATCCATTTCATCTTGGACTGGATTGAGACAGTCCCGGGTCGTCTTCCAGGTTCTATCCAGGTCGGATTCTAACTGAGTTAGATGGTTGTTTAAGACCACATTAATAAATTTTACCCCTTTCGGATATCCCTGATTATAATCACTCCGCATCTTTTCTTTAAGTAAAGCAGAAAATGCGGGGGATACTCCTACTTGAGTATGTGGGGTGAATTCAAAAATGGGTTCAGCATTGTCATGATTGAGTATGGGTGATGCTGGTTTTAAATTGGGAAGCAGGAATTTGGGTTTATCTGGAATGGGAGCAGAAACTGACCGGTTTCGGTAATTCCATTTAGCAGTGGCACTACCCATGGGCTGATCACTTGAAGAAGAAGTCATGGGTAGGTCCGAGTTGGAATCACTTGGACATCCATAGGCCAGGTCAAATACTTCCTTTCCATGCATTAAAATCGTTTCCCATTGAACTGAATTCATAGGTGAGTCAGATCCAAAATAAGCGGATGACTACACACCAAGGAAAAGAGTCTTGGGAATAGCTGGAGTCTGGCTGGCAGTTATAACTGGGATGGTCTTGAAAACGACTTGAGTGTTTGGGAATTGCATATTGATAAGTTCTTTTCAGATGTTCAGGTGTTAGATGCTGAAGGTTTGTTGAGCCATCGACCCCTGCTGGTGCTGCAGTTTTATAGTTTGATGTCTCTATTCTGTCAGACCAGATTCGAGATGAGGGAGTGTCTCCATAGCGGAGGGCTTTGGCCTCAGCGACTTCTGCCAAGAGCACTGTGCCTAGTGACACGTCCGTGCCCTAACTTACTGACTGGCAATCAGAACCGAAGGGGGGTAACTCTAGTTGATTTTATTACTGGCGTGTAACCTATGTACAAGTGGGATATATATATGGTTACAGCGAAGACGGGTCCGCAATTGGTGGAGCCGAACGGAGCAGTAAACATTAGCCGACTGAATATTACCGACGAGTCGGGTCGCGGGTTAGCGGAAAGGCAGGCAATAACCCAGAAACAGAAAGGAGGGATAGGCCCGAAGGTGGGCTCTGCAGGGCAGGCGAGTGTATTGCCCAGCGGAGGCGGGAGTGCACTAGCGGACGTCGGAGCTGTCCGGAAGTCTTCGGGGCTCCATACTTAGGGAGGCGTAGGTAATAAATTGAAATGAGGGGGTGGTGACCATCGAGGGTTACCGAGAGGATTGCGGAATACGGGAGCTCCGAGGTTAGTGAGGGAGGAGCGGAGTTAGACCGGAGGGATCGGAGGGACTGGAAGTCGATGGCCAGGGATGGATATGACATATTCCTCTTGTCTTCATCCTCCTTGGGAACCTATCGTTATGCTTGGGTGGCTACATGTTCAATCAGCCTAGTTGTTCGCAATCCATTGGCTCAGCCTCATTTTTCCATCTATCACTCCTTTTCCTCATGTTCCATCATCAATTCTCCTGTCTCCTTCATTCACTTGTCTAGTTTGGTTGTCCGCTTTTCACGGGTTTGATGACATCTTTAGTTCTTTCCCCCTTTTTCTCATTCTTGCTACACTATTCAGCCTCATGTTCCATTGTTCCACTATTTCTTTCTCCATCATTTTCGCCGTTCTCACAGATCCTTGGCTTGATTATCATCATGTCAACTCATCAAATCTCTCATGCTCCATCATTTTCGCACTTCTGGGTCTGATTACTGTCGCATTAACTCATCAAATCTTGCCTTGCGCTTCTTGCACTGTGTAACATGATTACCAACATGACAACTCATCAACCCTTGCCTTTTACTCTGCCAATTTTCCACCTGATTCACAACTCTCGATCTCTTCCCAGTATTCTCATGTCCATGCAGATTTATCGTTCGGATCCTGTGCACCACCTGAAGTTCCCCTTCTCCTCAGATTATTGGTTTTTCCCTGATTGAGCATTTACTCTCCCCATCCATCCACTCCTTTAATTCTCCACCTTCGGCTTCGACTCCCAGATCTCGCTCCTCAGCTCAACTACCTGGCAACTTCTACTTCCTTCCGATCCTGTTTCCTCCAACACAACTCTTACTTCCTCAAGGTCCATCACTCCTTTATTTTGGTCCCTCTGCCACTTGGATCTTATGACTATTCCCCGTGTTACTTTGTACATGTGTCATCCTCCACTCATCACTGTTAGAACTGGGCGAGGGCAGACGATTCCAGAGGGGAACCGGAGACTTAGCAAGGAGGGACCTTGGCCTCAGCAACTCAAGCGGAGCGCTGTGCCATTGCTGTTTGTCCATTTGGTCCTTAATTTCATAGGAGGCGAGCAGGAAGTCTCTAGGGGGCATTTCAGGTCGATTTTAGACTAAGGACTAAAACGAGTATGTACAAGCGCTGAAGGAGAGAACGAAGGAAGGTCAGTTGGGAGGTTCAAACGAGACCACCACCAAGCTGTTCCCTGGTTCTTTAGTTAGGATGGGGAAGTGTACTAGTGTTGTTTATTGTAAATATAGTACCAATCCGAGTGTTTTGGCTAATTCTATTTTTATGGGTTAGTTTTAAAGTTCCTGGGAATTGACTTACAGATAAACCGAACCCTGTGGAGCTGTTTCTTTATTGAAATTTCTTAATTTGTCTATGTGTAATTCTGTGTAGCGTTGTTTAATTTGGAATTTAACTTGAATTTAATCTTCTACTTGGTGAAGTTTCAAAGATTCTATTCAGTTAATGGATTTGGATTGTGTCTGGAGTGTCCCTTGGGTTTGTTTTATTTTTGTCTTATTTTATTGCTTGTTTTAACAGTAGCAAGATAACTGTTTTGTGTTTACACTTTGAAATCTGGAGTGTTAACCAGCTCTCCTGTTGAAATATTTACTTAATATTACTCTCCTTAATTGCTGCCTTTTACTACAGTGGCAATCTTAACTGTATATCACTTTTTTGCGCTGGAGTGACAACCAGAAATGCTTGAGAAAAATAATACTCTATTTTCTTACTTCTCTAAGGGGGGCAAAAAGTCGCAGAAAGAGTCTCCCTTTTATACTCCTTGGGTCGCCTTCCTTTTTCACGCTCTACCTTCTATTTACAGGATTTATTTACAGTGTATTTTTCTCAAACTGAATAAAAAATGAAATTTTCACGCTATAGTTCTACTGTGCTTTTGCTGCGCTGAACTGCAGTTCTACTGCGGTCAGACTGCACCTAGAATCCTTATTGTCCTCCCTCACCTAAGCTATTTTAATGGTTAATTAGAACTTGGCTGCGCTGCATTTGTCGCAGTTACCTATTTCAAATTCCCTATATATACCATTAAATTTGCTATGACTCAATGATTCTGAATTCAAACTTCGCATTACTATGTGTATGGCTGTGCTGAGACCTTCAGCTGATTTATTCCATTTTTATTTAGTGACATTCAGTTAAAATGAGACTGAAATGGTAAATGAGTGAATTATTCAGGTTTAAAACTGAAAGAAAAAGTTGCTAGTAGTCAAGAATTACTCAAACGAATGTGTTATAGCTCTCCACCTCATTAGAATATCGTTCCCTAAAATTCCCGCCATGGTCCATCGTAGTTTAGTGGTTTTCATGAATTTCGTTCATATTCCCTGATTCCCCTTTGTATTATCACATCCTAATCCTCCATATGTATTGTTCGTTGTTATAGTAGGTCATCCTTGAAGATATCATATTTTTATGTATTTTATTTAGGACTCTGGACCTCTTGAAGCTGTTTTCCCGCATGTATACATAACTTGTAGATAGGTTACACCCTAGTGATAAAATTGACTAGAGTTATCCCCCCTTTTTAGTTCTCACTGCCAGTAAGTAAATTAGGGCACAGACATGTAACTTAGCACAGCGCTCCTGGTCTGAGTCACTGAGGCCGAAGCCCTCCGCCATGGAGACATATCCTTCATCTCACATCTGGTCTCTAACAATCACTGTTTTTCTTTTCCATTGCAACAAAGTTGCAATGCAATTTTTCCCACCACAACCGATTGATGGTACTTAACCACCTCAGCAATCTGCTTGATGAGTTCAATGGGCGCTTGTACTGCCTTAACAATTCATCAACAGATTTCCAGTTGGAATTAATGTCTTGATTTTGATCGGTCATGATTAGGTATAGATCATGAATGCCTCATGGCATTCTCATTTCTTTGGAGACCGGAATTTGCAAAACAATCTGCCCAATGAGTCCATGATGTGCATTGGCTTTTTGCCATAAGACAAAGAGGATTTGGGACAGAGTGTTGGGGAACTCTGCCACATGGATGTTGTAGGCAGGCACAGCTGGTACTGCACAAACAAACCGAATATCGCGATTTCCCCATCCCTGCACATCCCCACTTCACGAAACACGTCGCACACATCCTCATATACCATTTCTACCCTTCCACGATTTTCCCCTATTTTTCCAGACACATTCCCAGTCCTCACAGACCAAATTCCCACGCCCACCCAGCAGCGCGGCCACACTCAGACTGGATTTCACTTATCTCAGCAACCACTGCACCGATTTGGACGATATTGGTACCGTTGGAAACGCGTCATTTAGGAGTATTGGGATCCATGATTAGCGGGAGTTGATTGGTGATGGATAGAGTTGGATATTTTTTGGCTGGAAATCATTTATTGCTTTATTGTTTTCTTGATTATTGTTTTCCCTTCCTTTTTCCGATATTGTTTGTTGCCGATATGACCCACCTAAGCACATGGGACTCATCGGATATTTTTTATCATTTTCCCCTGATCATTTCTCATATATACTGTACATGAGGATGTATCTACCTTTCCCCTTGGACTAGAAACCACCGAGTTTGCCCCTCCCAAGCTAGTAGGGAGTAGTACGACATAGAAGACGACCAAGAAGCCTCTAGATTAGTCCTTGCCTTAGTGTCACCCAGAGAGGTGGGGTAAGAGATTGATTGGAGTACACCACACACCGTACCACACCGGACCATATCACCATTACCATTATACCTTTTCCCTGACCTGTTGGATACCTATCCAGTCCCTGTCCTTTCCTGTTTTCCTAGTGGGTTAGATCCCTAGCCTGCTTACAACATGGAAGTAGATCCCGCATTCTGCCTTAAAGCAGTCGAGGTCTTCGCTCGTGCCAGTGAAGGTGGTGGGGGGGGGCAACCTTGGGTGCTTTGGGTTTTGGTGCAGGTGTGGGTGCAGGTGCGGATGTGGGCACAGGCAGTGGGTTTTGGATTCTGCTCTTGAGGATGGCTTGCAGTTCCTGGAACCTGGTCAGCAGGTCCTGGTACTGCTCTTCAGTCACCATGCTGGAGGAGGCGGGGGAGACTAGGTTGAAACCTTCTTCTGCTCTCAGGGACGGCACAGGAGAGGTGGGGGTAGTGGAGTAGCCCACAGCGCTAGCGGCCCAGGCGGTGGTGGGGTGATGGGAATGTATAGCGGACAGCCCTCACTCGGGCTTGCATCCCTGTTCTGGCTTCTTAGACTGAAGCAGGAATGTTATCATTAGAATGGAAAGCTAAACTAGACTAATCTAAAGTACTTCCCTGAAGCAGGAATGAGAAGAAGGTTGCTTCTTCAGTTCTGCTTCGGCTCAGTTTATATACAAGTGGGAGCTGGTCATGTGGAGGTGCCACGTCAGCTTGGGGCAGAGCTGTGCTATTGCGGGTGGCACTGCAGGTGATCCCAAGTGCTTAGGGAAAAGAGGTACAAGTAGAGATGTGCAGTGCATCCAGCGGTGCGACACCATGTGGGGTACTCGGCATCGGATGCATCCATGCTACAAGTGTAAGAAAGGAAGTTGTCCATATAAGAAGAAGGAAAGGAGGAAGGAGGGAAAAAAGGGAGGGAGCGGTGTGGAATTGACACCTCCCTTCATGTAGGAAAGCACAAAGAGGATCTGGGATAGCATGGTAGGGAACTTGGCTGTGTGGACGTGGAAATAGATCCTGCACTCAGCCTTAAAGCAATCAAGGTCCTTGCTGGCTCCCAAGAAGGGAGTGGGGGGAGCGACCTTCAGTGGTTTGGGTCTGGGCATGAGTGTGGGTGCAGGCGTGGGCACAGGTGCTGGTGCTGGTGCTGGTGCTGGTGCAGGTTGTCAGGGCACACCCGCCTGACCTGGCTCCACCCAGGCCCACCTGGGCCCACCTGACCTGCTCCCCCATTACCCATCCCCTTCCCTCCTCCTTCCTCCCTCTTCTCCTTCTTCTCTTTCTTCTCTTTTCTCTCTTTCCTCCTTCTCCTTTATTCATTCTCCCTTTCTGTTTATTCCTTCTATCTACACAGACCACTTTCCCTTGTATCATTGTACTGTTAACCTGTCCGATGATTGCGTAGGATCCATAATTAAAACATACAACGAAATTTATACGGAAATTATGAAAAATAGGAAACTATAGTTATGCAAATTCTCAGCCCAAACGGTCCAGCCGTTGTGAAGTTATACCCATGACGGGAATATAGGAATCCGCATCATGTGTAATGACACGTGAGGGTGGCGATGCGCAGGGAACCGGCCATCGGAACCGAGATCCGCACTTCGGCAGATCGCGAAGACCAATTTCCGTCCAAATAAGGAAGAGCCCGGTCAAAACAAAGCACGAAAAGTGCAAAACAACCTTAGATCATGAGGGAAAAATCTGAAATAAATCACAGAAGCCCATATGAAAGAAATAAACACCCGCGCATATCATAAATCCCGAACAACTAAACGAAAACGGCTCCCGCATACGAACAACTATGGGAACGACGCACGTGATTACCGAATGTGCGCGCGAAACTTTGCTAACTCAACGAATACAGGGAAATAGGACACAACCTTAGTACCATTGGAAAGGTGGGAATAAATGGAAATTTATGATACCAAGAACGTGAGAAAACATCCAGAAATGAATGAGATACAAGGACATGAAGTTAGAAACCTGAAAACACGCGGGAAGACAGCTTCAAGAGGTCTAGAGCCCTAAATAAAATACATAAAAATATGATATCTTCGAGGACGACCTACTATAACAACGAACAATACATATGGAGGATTAGGATGTGATAATACAAAGGGGAATCAGGGAATATGAACGAAATTCACGAAAACTACTAAACTACAACGGACCATGGCGGGAATTTTAGGGAACGATGTTCTAATGAAGTAGAGAGCTATAACACATTCGTTTGAGTAATTCTTGATTACTAGCAACTTTTTCTTTCAGTTTTAAACCTAATAATTCACTCATTTATCATTTCAGTCTCATTTTAACTAAAATGTCACTAAATAAAATTGGAATAAATCAGCTGAAGGTCTCAGCACAGTCGCATGCATAGTAATGCGAGGTTTGAATTCAGTATGACCGAGTCATAGCGAACTTAATGGGAAATATGGGGAATTTGAAATAGGGAACTGCGGCAAATGCGGCGCAGACAAATTCTAATTAACCATTAAAATAGCTTAGGCGAGGAAGGACAATAAGGATTCCAGGCGCAGTCTGACCGCAGTAGACCGCAGTTCAGCGCAGCAAAGCGCAGCGGAACTATAGCGTGAAAATTTCACTTTTTATTCAGTTTGAGAAAAATACACTGTAAATAAATCCTGTAAATAGAAGGTAGAGCGTGAAAAAGGAAGGCGACCCAAGGAGTATAAAAGGGAGACCCTTTCTGCGACCTTTCGCCCCCCTCAGAGAAGTAAGAAAATAGAGTATTATTTTTCTCAAGCATTTCTGGTTGTCACTCCAGTGCGAAAAAGTGATATACAGTTAAGATTGCCACTGTAGTAAAAGGCAGCAATTAAGGAGAGAAATATTAAGTAGATATTTCAACAGGAGAGCTGGTTAACACTCCAGATTTCAAAGTGTAAACACAAAACAGTTATTTTGCTACTGTTAAAACAAGCAATAAAATAAAGACAAAAATAAAACGAACTCAAGGGACACTCCAGACACCATCCAAATTCATTAACTGAATAGAATCTTTGAAACTTCACCAAGTAGAAGATTAAATTCAAGTTTAAATCCAAATTAAACAACGCTACACAGAATTACACCTAGACAAATTAATAAATTTCAATAAAGAAACAGCTCCGCAGGGCTCGGTTTATCTGTAAGTCAATTCCCAGGAACTTTAAAACTAACCCATAAAAATAGAATTAGCCAAAACACTCGGATTGGTACTATATTTACAATAAACAACACTAGTACACTTCCCCATCCTAACTAAAGAACCAGGGAACAGCTTGGTGGTGGTCTCGTTTGAACCTCCCAACTGACCTTCCTTCGTTCTCTCCTTCAGCGCTGGGCGCTATACCCGGACTGCCTCGACCCTGGATGTGTCCCTGACAGTAGTACAACATAGAAGACGACCAGGAAGCCTCTAGACCAGTCCTTGCTTTAGTGTTCCCCAGAGAGGTGGGGTGAGAGATTGATTGGAGTACACCACACACCACACCGGACCATTATTACCATTACCATATTACCCCTTTTCCCTGACCTGTTGGATACCAATCCAGTCCCCATCCTTTCCTGTTTGCTTGCTGGGTTAGATCCCTAGCCTGCTTACAACACCCAGCAATACATCCCCCCATGCCTCCTCATGCAATCGCCCCCCCTCTCGCCAGCCTGGCCACAACCTCACACACCTCTTGTCTGGACCTAAAGTCCTGTCAAAAACTCCTCATGCGGTGCCTACTCCACCCACCTCTGCCATAAGACTGGGAGCGAACCTCACAACCAAAGCTCCACCACCAAACCCCTTGCGCACACAATGCAACCCACACAAAGCTCTAGGAACCTGACAAACCAACTGACCAACCGTAAAGCAACACAGTACAGCCCCCTGGTATTGCAGTATCTGAACTACCCTGAACGTGCACCCCGCCTGAACCAGGTCCACCAGGTCTTCCAGCTTGAACTGCCAGACACCACCACCCCCCAGTCAGCTGGCCTCATCTTGCCAACCACAACCCCATAAACTCCTACCCCCAAGACTGCCCACACAACCCATGAGCCACAGAGTAAATAATGCATAAACCACTCGCTGAGCCATGAGACAAACACCCCTTGTCTCACCCCACTACCCCAATGCGGGCAAGGCCCAACCAGTCCACTGCCCCCCCCCCCCCCCCCCCCTGGGAATACTGCCTCCCCACCCCCCCCCCCTTAGAGTCCATCTATCCCCTAACCTCTGCTAGAATCCAGACAACATCTATGTCTGCCACCAACCCTGTAAGATAGCTTATCCCACTAGAATGTAGCTTAAAAACACCCAAAATAATAAAGACAAATACGCCACAAAACTCACCATGTACATGTTGGAATCCCAACCACCACCTGGACGCATAGAGCGATCCACCCCAACTAGGGACCTAAGGGGACGTGACCCAAACCACCCCCCTTGTCCTCCCCACCCTGCGACCCAGCACGCCAGGCACTTAACCCCTAGTGCCCCACTTGAAAGTAAAACCCTGCCTCTGCCATCATCACACGCGTAACAGCCTGTGATCCATCCATGAGTCCCCATTCCCCCACAATGATACTGCATAAACCCAACCAAACAATAACCCCCTAACCACTAAACATGACTTATCCTACTGAAAACCCACTGTCAGGGCACACCCGCCCGACCCGCCTCCACCCGGGCCCACCTCACCCGGTACCTCTTCTCTCATCCTGCACCCTTCCTTCCTATTCATTCCCCTCTCTACCTCTCTTCTATTTCTATTTCTATTTCTACTTCTATCTCACATGGATGACCTTTCCCTTATATCTATGTATTATCGACCTGCCCACAATGCACACATGACATGCCCAGCCCCGGATGCCCCGGATGGCTCTAGGGTGCAACCTAGTGCACACGCGTGCAGCATATGCCCTTGGGATCCCCTGCGGGGACACCCGGGTGACTGTGGCTGTATGCAGGGTGATGTGGCAGACCTCATGTGACCCAAGCCGCATGTATATAAACACACCTGGGGTGGGAACCGAAGAAGTAACCTTCTTCTCAACAGTCCCACTTCAGGTAAGTAGTATAGTTTCCCTTTTAATAATAACTCAACATTCCCACTTCAGTCTAAGTGGCCAGGGATCGCTGTCCCGCATTGGGCCTGCCAGTACGCATGCCCAATCTACCCCCCGTGAGGTCCTCAGCACCGGACGCTACACCCGGACCGCCTCGACCCTGGACACATCCCTGACAGCAGAAGAAGGTTTCAACTACACTCCCTCTACCTCCTCCCCTGCCATGGTGTCAGAAGAACAATATGACGACCTGTTGGCCCAGTTCGAAGAACTACAAGCCATTGTCAAAAGTCACACCCTGAACCAGGCTGCACCCACACCCGCCCCATACCCGCTCCTGCCCCCCTGCCTGCACCCAGACCCAAGGGCCCCAAGGTTTCCCCCCTACCCCCTTCTCAGGAGCCAGCGAGGATCTCGACCACTTCAAAGCTGAATGTGGTATCTACTTCCACATCCGCCTGTCAGGGCACGGCACGCCGCTCCGCTCCACACCGCACCCTCCTGCTGCCCTCTTTCCTTCTTCCTTTGCCTTCCTTCTTTCTTTCTTTCCTTTCTTTCTTTGTACAGACGACCTCTCCCCTTACCCATGTAGCATGGACATGTCCGGTGCCAAGTACCCCGCGTGGATACTGTGCCGCCGGATACGCCACACATCTTCACTTGTACTTCTCCCCTCTGACACCTGGGACCGCCTGCAGAGCCATCCGCAATAACCCAGCTCCACCCAGGCTGACGTGGCACCCCCCACGTGACCCGTTCCCACCTGTATATAAACCGAGCCGAAGCAGAACCGAAGAAGCAGCCTTCTTCTCACTACTGCTTCAGGCAAGTGTCTTACTTTAGTTTAGCTTAGTCTTTCATCCTAATAACAATCACTACTGCTTCAGCCTAAGAAGCCGGACAGGGATGCGAGCCCAAGTAAGGGCCGTTCGCTATACATGTTATGGAAATGGGAATTTCCCATTTTAGACTCTTATGGGTTCTGTATCATGTGATTTATATAGTAATATAGTTTATCGAATCATTAATCAACAAAAACCCGCTGCCACACTACCTGTTCAACAACATGTTAGACCATCTGTGAAACCACCTGTAAACCCCTATGTCCAACCCCCTTCCCTATTCCTGCACCAGAACGGACGAAAATGGGCGCTTCCGGCCCCATTTTTGTAACAATACATTCCCACCACTCCGCCGCCGCCTGGGCCACTACCCCCGCCTCTCCTGTACCGTCCCTGACACCACCTGGCTGAGTTCCCCAGCGCCCTCTCGCAGATCCTCTTCATACTCTCCTATATGAAGGGAGGGACTGCAGGAGCGAAACTGGCAAACATCTGACAAGGGAGTGACTCCATGGATAAGGTCATCCAGTGTCAGGGCACGCTGCTGCCGCTGCCGCTGCTGCCACCTCCTTTTCCTTTTGTCTCATCCCCTCATTCTCTCTTCTTTCCTTCTTCTCTTTTTCCATCTTTATACAGACGACCTCTCTCTCTTTCCTACCCTTGTAGCACGGATGTGTCCGATGCTGAGCACCCCGTAGGGGCACCGCAACACCGGATGCGCCACGCACTTCTACTTGTACTTCCCCTCCAACACTCGGGATCGACCGCGGAACCACCCGCGGTAACCCGGCTTCGTCCGAGGGTGATGTGGCAACCCCACGTGACCCATTCACACATGTATATAAACTAAGCCGAAGCAGGACCGAAGAAGTAACCTTCTTCTCATCTCCCGCTTCAGGCAAGTACCCTAGTTTAGTCTGGCTTCCCACCCTAATAACAATACATTTCCTGCTTCAGCCTAAGAAGCCACACAGGGATGTGAGCCCAAGTAAGGGCTACCCACTATATGGTCTCACTGCCCCGCCGCCGTCCGGGCCACTAGCGCCGAGCGTTACACCGCTACCTCTGCCTTCCTCGAGCCGTCCCTGACATCCAGGAGTTTGAAATATTGGGACCCGCCTCGTGGCTGGGTGACGTTGGGCTAGTTGACCGCTTCAAGCAAGCAATCAACGCCCAGCTCCGTGAGAGCATTTACCGCCTCCATCCCATGCCCACCACCTGGGCTGAATGGAAACGCAAGGCCACCCTCTGTCAGGGACGCATCCGGGGTCGAGGCGGTCCGGGCGTAGCGTCCGGTGCTAAGGACCTCACGGGGGGTAGATCGGGCATGCGTACTGGCAGGCCCGATGTGGGACAGCGATCCCTGGCCACTTAGACTGAAGTGGGAATGTTGAGAAGAAGGTTACTTCTTTGGTTCACACCCCAGGTGTGTTTATATACATGCGGCTTGGGTCACATGAGGTCTGCCATGTCACCCTGCATACAGCCACGGTCACCCGGGTGTCCCCGAGGGCATATGCTGCACGCATGCGCACTAGGTTGCACCCTAGAGCCATCCGGGGCTAGGCATGTCGTGTGCGTGTCATGGGCAGGTCAATAATACATAGATATAAGGGAAAGGTCGTCCATGTGAAATAGAAATAGAAGTGGAAGAGGGATAGAGGGGGAAGGGATATGAAGGAAGGGTGCAGGGTGAGAGAAGGGGTACCGGGTGAGGTGGGCCCAGGTGGAGGTGGGTCGGGCAGGTGTGCCCTGACACCCTCCTTGATAACCAATGGCGACGTTTCTGTCAGGGACGCGTCCGGGGTCGAGAGGGCCCAGGGGTAATATCCGGCACTGAGGCCGTCGCGGGGTGTGGAGCGGGCGTGCGTACTGGCGGGCCTGATCCGGGACAGTGGTCCCTGGCCACTCAGACTGAAGTGGAGAATGTGAGAAGAAGGTTACTTCTTCGGCTCCCACTTCAGGTACATTTATGTACATGCGGCTTGAGTCACATGACAGGTGCCACGTCATCCTCGGAGGCAGCCGCAGGCATCCAGGTGTCCCCGTGGGGGATCCCGAGAGTGTCCGCTACATGCGCGTGTGCTGGGCACAGTGGGAAGCCGTCCGGGGTGTGTGGGCCGGACGGGTCAATAGTACATCGATACAAAGGAAGGTGGTCCGTGTAGATAGAAAGAAATAAACAAGAAGAGGAAGATGAGAAGAATGAAATAAAGAAAGGGGAAAGAAGAGGGAAAGGAAAGGGGAGGAGAGGGAGGGGATAGACAGCAGGGAGCGGGTGTGGTGTGGCCAGGTGGGCCCGGGTCAGGCGGGTGTGCCCTGACAGTTTCCAGGCGACGCAGCCCTGCAGACCTCCATTCCCGCTGGGACGACCCCTACCAACTACCGCCCCTCTCACACACGTCCCACGCCCACACCCCTGCGGCCCACACCTGTACCTTTACCCCTGACTCCTACAGTCCGCCCACGAGTGGAGTGGGCCCGCAGCCAATGGACCTTGATCACTCAAGGATCGACCAGAGGCGGAATGGGCTGTGTTACAACTGCGACACCCCAGGGCACATTGCCCAGGAGTGCCAGCACCCCAAGGTCCATCAAGTACAACGCCTCCACCCTGAGGACCTCTGGGCACTGATGGAAGGACTGAAGAACCAGTTGACCGGAGAGCCAGAGACGGAGCAGAGAGGGCCAGAGGAGGATCCCCAGGAGGATTTTCAGGAGGGTGACCGGTGAGGGATGCGTCCCGGCCGCCCATAGCGGACAACTCATGTAAATACCGCAGCATGTGTAAGCCAGCACCAACGCAAAGGTTCCACCGAGTTATCGTGAAGAAAAAGAGGAAAAACGCATCCTCAGCCTGTGAAAGCAAGAGAGACTCAAGGGTAGCACCCGAAGTAGCAGTATCCCCACCCGCTATCTATGTCCTCTCGAAGCAGTCCCCCAGGTCACTCAACCTCACCGTGAAGCTGACCACCTTGACCTCCCTTGCCTCTGTGTCCGTGTCCACCCTCCTAGACTCCGGGGCCACTGGGAACTTCATGAGCCCTGAGTTCATCTGGAAGCACAAGCTCGAGACGACCCCCCTCCCACAGCCCATCCCTGTCTGCAACATCAACAGGACCCCGAATGAGAATGGAGCCATAACTGAGGAGCTGGAAGCCCTCCTAACATTTGGGAGGCACACAGAGCGGGCCTGTTTCGCTGTTGCAAACCTGGGACGACAATCCCTCATCATAGGGCACTCGTGGCTACTCCACCACAACCCGGAAGTGGACTGGGTGCAACAGAGGGTTGTCATGTCCCGCTGCCCATCTTCCCGCCAATCACCACGGGTGCCAGACGACCAGGACCCTGTGATAGAACCTGGGGATGAGATCTATGCTGTGATCATCCCTCAGGGTGGGGCCATGACTTAAGGGCGACTACAATGCCCTCCCAGCGAATGGCCCAGGAGGCTTGTGAGCCGGATGCAGAGCCCGCATTGTTTGAAGAGTTAGTGCCGGGTCACTACCAAGACTTTTGGGGCATGTTTTCGAAAGAGGCCTTCGACCGACTACCCCCTGGAAGCCTTGGGACCATGCCATAGACCTGGTGCCGGACGCCAAACTGCCCAGAGGAAAAACTTTCCCCCTCTCGCACCCAGAGCAGAAAGAACTAGACAAGTTCTTATGCGAAAACCTACAGAACGGGTGCATATGGCCGTCCAAGTCTCCAATGGGAGCCCTGGTCTTCTTTGTCAAAAA